GGCTATCAGGCTGGCGAACATATTCCCTTGAGCACTCGTTTGAGTTCTCAAAGTGATTGTTGATCACGATTTGAAAAAAATGAAATAATCTACACTGCGCACGAGTAGCCCACTTACGATGAACACTTACACATAATACGAAGCTGGGGCCGGTTCTGGGGAGCAATCCAGAATCACCGACACTCAGGACGGTCGCTGTCCGGTGAACAGTTACTTACTCGGCCACGTTATCAAAGTGGACCATGCACTGGAGTAAATCGCTTGTCTGGGAAGCACACGCCATCAAATGTCTCGGAGTGCGTGAAAATAGCACCCAATTACGCCTCGGCCAGACAGCATTATTGGCTCTCATTCGTGGTGTCATTTTATCCATCAAGTACGCCATAACCAGCATGTGCTTGACCAAAGTGGATGACTTACGCGGTGCGTAGCCTTCACTTTTAAAGAAGCGTGCACATCCGTTCGCCCCATTAAATCAGTCACAAAGAAGGTGCGCAGCCTCTACCCAGGTAGTGAAAATCACATGCTCTGCCGTGCGTGGCAACAACATTTACGTCTGAAAAACGTTGAAGCAGGGCCACTTGAACTTGAAGGCGGCTGTAGCAGCTGACGCGGAAGCTGTGATGTCTCGAATGACCAGCGTCTTCCTGAAGTCATCCGCAACGTATTGCTGCACATCGATTGAGAGAGTATCACACTTCTTGAAGTATTCACACATCAGGCGTCAACTGATGGCGGTTGAAAAAATGCTGATGACCTTTGGGTTCACGCTGAGAAACAAGAATGAACTATTATTAGTAAGAAACGTGGGGTCTATATTTTTAACTAATCCGAGCTACACTTGAAGCTGGCCCCTCATTCCGACCAATCAAATGCGGGCTAGGCTTGTTGGCCGTTGCGGCACCTAATTACTGAGGGTAAGACAGCTTTCACGGATTAACAGATTGATACACAGGATCGAAGCTTTTTGCCCAGGTTTTCCAGGTCGGTTTTGTTCTTAAAATTCAGCGGCTGTCGTTCACCTGAAAGGCACTAATGAAAAACGGCGTACCGCTGCTCTTTAAGTTCTCAGTGCGGGTCAGTATGCTCACCAGTGCGAGAACTCGCATAAATAAGTGTCTAATAGTGCTTTGAACTGGGTTCTAGAAGAAGCGTGGACAACCTTTGGAGGAAATTTATTCCACGCAGGAAAAAAAGATCAATGAAATTGTGCGACCTGAGCTTGAAAGTATCCTTACCATTTCACCGCCGTGTTTTCTGGGTCAACGGCGAAAAACCTGTTGGCCAAGCCTTCTTCAAACAAGACATAAGCAGGGATTATGTACACTAGGAGGCGACGGTACTCCAGGGAATCGCGTTTCGTAGTCCACGGATTTGAGGACTGCAACCATTTTCGTAGCACCCCGCTGGGCACGTTCAATGGGGGTTTTGGGTTCCGCCTTATACTACTTTACCTAGAATTAAGGCGAAACATACATCCCGGAGTCATTCTGGGACTTGATATCGGATATTTATAGTCACTGGAGCGAAATGTCGAAAGCTGCACTGGGTGCCGTGATCGATTTCCACCTTTGGTAAAACCCTGAAAGACTCCAGGCACATTCGGTACGCTGTGTGATGTCCTTGCCACTCACAAATTGACTGCAGAATCTCGGAAAATGTGCGAAACGTGACCCAGAAGTCCCAATGCACGTAAGAGGATATGATTTACTACTGACTGATTTCGCTTGGAGAACTGGATGCTGAAATCATGCGAAATTCGGTCTTCACTATCGATTCGACGATACGGAGCCATGGTTGGAAACTTCCCAAATTGGTGTTAAAGATTATTTTTAGTATCTTTTGTCCACTTGATAGTGACTTGCTGAAACTATCTTCCAGGTTCGGTCGTGAAGTACGGATGTACGTATGGAATTTAAAGCTAGATGTAAGGACTGAACACAGGCTGAATTGACCTCGCCATATATTTGCACTGTGCTGGTACGGCGCTACTAGTCTTCCTGAGGCACTGGATATCTGACAAAACAATGGTAATTCTTGGATCTAGGTTAAATGTTCCCGAACATAATCTGGCCCCACGAACTGTCAGAAGTTAAGTGGAAGTGGGCCTGCTCACCGAACGTGAAGTCTGGTAGACTTGAAAGTCTAAGGAAATAAAAGACCAGGAAAGGCGGGAACGCCGTAAGATTACTTCAGTTGATCCTTGCGTCCGGTCCGCCTGTGAGCGAAATCATCAAAGATTAAAGTGGCACGACCATCCTGAACAAATAAGAATGAGGAAGAACATAGAGGAAGAAGGAGAAGAGGGACATCGACCCCTGGACCGAGTAATTCGAACAGCAATTCTCGTGGCCATCCGCTGTCACTCATTTGAATTTTGCAGCTGAAGTAATATCCTAGACGATGAAGTGAAACCACCTACGGTATCGTTTGTTAATGATAGCATGTGTTCTCTCAAGTGTTACCGAGCTCCTTGTTCGGAGGACCCCCATTCACATTGTTCAAAGATGGGGTTGAGTCCTCAATAAGCGTTTTCTGATATCCTTGCATGCATTTGGGAAGGGGAGACTGTCCCAGACCATGAGGAGAATCGGTGATAGTTCCTATTTCCAAAAGGAGGCTCTTAGTGAGTGTGGTAATCACAGGAGTAAGAGCTTCATCCCAGTTGTAACGAGGCTCTTGGCGTTACTATTCCATCGCCGCTTAATAATGGCTCGTGAAACTGACTCATGACAAGGAGTCGGGATTACGGCCTGGTAGCAGTCTCTATGACAGGTGCTAGAACAACGCTATGCGTACAAACAACCAGCAATTTTCGCATTCCTGGATTTCTAAGAGGCATTCGACTCAGTTGGCCTACCTTTTCTCCTTGACGCGCCCATCAAGGAATGACCCGGAAGTGGACATAAGTTTTTTGTATTCTCGGAATTTCGGACGTGTGAGAGTATACAGAGGGCTCTCGGAAAGCTTCAGCACACAGTGTCCACTCTCCATCCATATTTAATTTCGTGATCGATATTGTAATAAGAAACTCTTAAATGTCATCTAAACCCTAGTCTGCACATAACTGCTTACGAAAACTTAGTCGATCTGGAATAAGCAGGTGACATCGTTTTAATCGTTGAATGGGAATAGAAAATGCAGGTGTTCTACAGATAAACTGACCAAAGTCGTCTGGCTTGTTTTTCGCACCTACAAAGTAGAAGGACATGCAGTCACTCGACGCACCTCTTACATTTCAAGGAAAGGCACTCGAATTCGTGGAGCATTTTGCGGATCTTGAAAGTTGCCTCGATTGTTGTGTTGCAGATGAGGTCAGTGCACGATTCTGCAAGGCTCGAGTCGCGTTCGCTATTCTGAGACACCTATGGCGTCAAAGCGGTACATATGAAGGGACGTGCGTATCAGACTTTTTGGTTCTGCGGCTATCGGAATAAACCTGTCCGAGAAGCGAAACTGAGACGTGTTCAGGCCTTCGGCAACTGTTGTCTCAGGACAACAGCTTGTGGGGATTGGTTTTTCCTTGGATCCGTAAGGAGGCAATTATAAAGTGAGTTTTGGGTCGTGCACCGGGGACATCCATCGAAAAATGCGTCCAAAACCAGAAGCTGTGTTTGTCAGGCCACGCGTTGCGCATATCAAACAGTCGTTTACCTATTAGAGTGCTAGTTCCCGCGCCCAATACGGACTGGTTGAAGCAGAGGGTGGTCAACCCCTGACCAGGCAGATGGGTATGAAAGAGATTACGGAAAGTCTGGGTTCTGTCGGTGAGACTCGACTTCCAGGATGGGGACTGTGTGATCCCTACTGCACCTGATTGCAGAAGTTGCAATATTCGGCTGCTAGTCGATATCAGTAGTGTGCTTGTTGTCATTTTCAATCAATCCTCAAACACTACACGGCGCCTGGCGCAAGTAGTCTGTACCCCGCGCTATCAAAGAAAGTGGCAAAGTCCTGATGGGCAGTCTAGATCTATACTGAAGAAGATTGGGAACTACTATCATCCTAGTTTTCAAAAATGGTGTAAGAACGTCACACAAAAACCGTCGTGCCATCAGCGTGGTATTCGTCACATCTAAGGCGCTCTCTGGCATTATTTTGCGCAGTTTTGATCGATTATCGAGTGACATCCGTGAGAAGCAAGCCCTGGTCAAGGATGCATCAACTATATCTTCACTTTGAGACAAATTATTAAACAGTGCCACTGTTTAAATGCCCCACGTTGGTTGTTTTTCCTGATCTGAAATCTGCTTTTGACACTCGATTGTGAGAATCTTTGGTGGTGTCTGTCGATCAAAGGTGTCCCAAATTCATGCCCTTGTGAGGGCACTGTATGCGAATTCCTGTGGGCGCGTACGAATATCTGTCGAACTTTTGCACGTAGTGAGATGCAAACAAACGCATTTTCCCTTTGTTTCAGAAAACATTTAGAGCGACTGGGTTTAAAAGCATATGGAGTTGCCAGGCTGGATTTCTCGCAACATTTTGACCCCACTCAGTAGCCAGATGCTACGCCAATCGTACAAACTTCGGAAACCCTTCGAATCCAGACGATGACAATGACACTGGGGAATACAATCCAAGCTATCACTCCTGACATTCTTACAGTACAGGTGCCCCAGCTTGGTCAAGTTGCCAAAGAAACACCAACCAAATAACTTGAAAACCGTTGGAATTGTATAGCAGACAAGTGGTCTACCCACTAAGTTGTGACAAGGTACATGCCATATAAAACATTAACTGACAAGCAACACAGAACATTCGTCCCCTGTTAGTCCTTTAAAAATATATTCCTCTGCACGTCTCTAGTCAGACTAAGTTCAGTGGAATTTTGTGTCCTTCCATCCTACACACCCAGGACTTCATTGTGTGTTTATGTTTTATGATTGCCTACGAGGATCAAATTGTGTACCCTTAGCAACCATATTCACTATTCTGTTCATAGCTCGGTCAACTTCATCTGATGATATCATCCTGAACGTTGGTTCCCTATATTGAAGTCTGGGCCCGTGTCGTTTACTTTTCATCCTGTTTGCAAGATGGCAAAGAAAAAAGAATCCCATAATAAAAAGTCGACCAAAGGGAAGTCTACGCGCGAGAAACTTATCACTAGTCAACTCCATCGCTTGGGGAAAGTCGGTGGACTGAAAGATCTTCGACTTGGACAGCGAGGTCGGCATGGTGCACCAGAACAATCTGCTTTGCAGAGGCACATAGTGGAGAAGCTTGTGAGTTTTCCTACTTTGAGATATCATTTGTGACAATAGCGACAACTAGATAAAGTCACTTTTGAACAAGACGAAGATGACCCAATGCACCGCGCGGCATTTGGAGATGGAAACAAAATGAGCTCGTTGCACTTCCGCCTTGACGACCAAGCAGACGGTGGAATTCAAGGTTTTTTCGACTTATTCCGCGATAATTTTTCCTTCAGCTGATGCTGCCGAGGAGTTCTTTGGCCGTGCACGTGATTCAGGCTCATTCAGGGACGCTCTGTCGGAGAAAATAGCAGCTTCAAAGCTCGAAAAACTTAAACGCGTCGAAGAGAACGAGGAACAGAGGGGACGTTTAAAAACGGTGGATACGGAATGGTCGCAGAAAATAAGATTCATGCTTTCCCAAATCCCTTCCTTGAAGTCCAAGGTATGCGTCGTCTTGTGCGGGTAAACGTTGTTAGGTTGTACCATCGGCGAGGTCGCGAGGAAATCAAACCTCAGTTTCCGCACTTCTTGAAGAGCTAAGTACTGACAGAAAAATCACTCCTGCGGATGTGAAAACATCGGAGGGCTCTGAAGAAAAACACCTTAAAAAACTTCAAATGGTTATCGAAAGCCGATTAGCTGCGTAAGTTTTTTTAAAAGTCGATCTGTGTTGGTATCTTGTACTATTCCGATACGCTTTTGCTGTTGCGAGCACTGTATGATATCTATCGAGCATACATGGTATGCTTATGTTACCTCCCTTCATTAGACTACCGGAGAACTTCGGAAGTATTCTCTACTTGTAATCTCTACTTCGATATCCATTCGCGAATCGAACACGACGAAATACCAGGCTTGCCAACTAGTAATACTGCTATTACTGATAATAATAACAGTAATAATAATCGTCGAGTCATAAAACCGTTTCGGTGCCCGAAACTATCCACAGGAAGCATACGGGCTGGGATACTGCCGGGTTGCCCAAGACTAGACAGCAGTTGAGATTCCAAGGTTGGTTTTGAACGACGCACCATCCGGTTGATAAGTCCCCACTTTAACCACTGATTCATCTCGTGCTCAAGCTTGCTAAAGAGGAAGTACAACAGCTGTATGACTAGGGGTATACATGATTGATCTCAGCTAGACTCCAGGTCCCAGAAGAATGTCTTCCAACTGGAGTACTTTTGAGGATGTTAGCTTATTCGGTTGTCCTTGCCCGATCCCTCCGGGTTGTCGGGTAGTCTGCTTCACAAAATGGCCTACTGATTAACCGGAAACAGGTGTTCAGGTTTTTTTGGTTGACAATGGTATCTTGTGGTTTGTCCAAAGACGGTGTAAAAAATATCTTCGCGACCTACCGGTGACTGCGCAGCGAAGCATCAGTGTTCAACCCTGTTGTTATGCTGTCGATGATGATGATGATATACTAAGAAAGTGATGCTGAGAGTTTTCTGTCTCTACTCGAACTCTATTTCATATCTTTTGACCAAATCAGCATGCATCAAGTCAGCCACTGTATCAACATAAACTTGGGAGTCTACACAATTTCTTCCGCACCAGTTTTTACGAGTTTCTCACGAATGCTTTCGGGTTATATTCATCTGGCACGTAGTTCCCTCACCACCCTCACTTCCATAGGACTCGATAACACGCATGCCGTGGTGGCGATCGCAATAGTCCTGTGTAGTCCGCCCATTTCTTTGGATACCTAACCAAAGCGATGCCCGAATTATAATCCGATTGTTAACATGTTCAAATATATTGTTTGAAGGTTTCAAGAGAAACGACGCAAACAAGTTTGCGTATATTAATGTCTGATTTGATGACGACGCGTTGATTGTCTGGTAACTTGTGGTTACGTGTTCAGGTTGCCGGTATGGAACCTACCACGCCCCGTGCAAACTCCCCTTAGGAACACAAAGCTGGCTTATGCGGTTGCAAGGCCACCCCGTCCGTCATGCTCATGTACAGTTTTCATGCCGATTCTGGATAGTTTCAGTCAGCTTTGTAACATACACCAAACTGTTGTTCAATGTCAACCGGCTAAGTACGGACTGATAGTGCTAACAGCAACTTTCCAATATCTTGTCGTAAGCAAATTGGACAATACTCTCGCATGCGAGCAGCAACTTTCCCGCTGGTTTGACTGACATATATTACACGACAGCAGAGAGCTAGCATCTTACAGACCTATCATGCGTACAGGCTTTAAAGTTTATGTATGGAGTTAGGTGCAAAATTCTGACGCTGAATTCTCTGAAAGGCGCTCTTGTAAGCCTATCAGGATGACTGATTTTGTTAGTGATCACTGGCCATTATTTCCATCTCCGACTAAGAAGTATCTTTTGGGCAGACTTTGCTCGCACAGTTGATTAGTCGGTGGATCGCCTTGACTAATCGAATGTAAGTCCTTGAACTTGACGTACTAACATTTTGGGCTTTTAAGCATGTTGATGTCTAGAATTGTTGCATTTCTTCCCACATCCATGAACGCATCCATGAGCTTCTCCGAGGCGAGGTAAATACGTATATACCATTCCCTGTTTGGCAACACTCGTGGAAATTTCGTCCACAAATCGGTGGCAGAAATGCGTTAGCTTAGCAGCTTCCTTCCTTTTCCTCAAGAAAATATCACACAGGGGAAGGCTGAGAGGGGAGCCCATAGTGACTTCATTGCTTTATCCATTAAGCATTGCGTTAAACCTGGGTTCTTTCAGGCCCGTAATAGAGCTAGGATGTGTGTCGTTGAACCGTTCAATGTAGCCACATACAAAGTCTTTGGTATCCTGAAGAGCGATGTTTGTGAAATGGGAGGCAGTTAGGTACTATCTGAGTTTACGAAATCGTGTATTTATGTCATGTAACTTTTTTTGCTTACAAAAGCTGGACGTGTCTTGTTCAATCTATGTTGAAAAGCTCAGGGCGATTAGGGCCCGTTGTAGTTGGATACCATGCCATTCAATTTCGATTGGTTAATTAGCAGCCATAACACCTTTTCACTGCGTAACTGCCCTAAGGTTGCACGAGGGCTGTGATACTGCCAGGTTACCAAAGCCTAGACAGAGGAAGTCGGTCAGTAAATCGCACTCTAAACAACTCCGCCATTTCGCCCCTAATTAGCAGCAATCAACTTGCAAAAAGTCTTGCGGACGTATGGTCTCGGTAACGACTGCTATGGCAAATACAGCCATAAAATACGGAATAGCAACATAAAGGTGCTGAAAGCTTTACAGTGAGTATAAATCAAGGACACAGTCTAACTAATTTGCTGTATGGAAGTTTTGTTTTGGGGATAAAGTAGTATCAAGTCTTCCACATGCCTTTTGTTGGTGACAAGGGGAGTTCAAGTGACCGAGTAGGTCAGATGGTTCTAAAGTCCTCCGGCGCACGGCCTCGGAACTGTTTGGCGGCACCCGGTTCCACAGGTTGATCTAGTGGTTGTTGTGGATCAAGTGAGCGACGATCGTACTGGTCACGTGACTGACTAGTGCAGTTCTCAAGTGGGTTAGTCTTCGCCTACGAATTATATCGGATAGGATCTGAGACGTGCGATCCACATAGTCTGATGAGCACTGGAAAACGTGTGAATAAAAGACCGTTGATTAATCATGGGTCATCTTTCTGCGTTCGAGATTCGTGTTGAGCACTGGACCCTAATGAGGTGTACCTTCACTTTGACTACGCTGGAAATCCGTTCCAAGGCAGTGGTTAGACGACGGGTCAGTGTTTCAGAAGCCACGCTCCTAAAAGGAAGACGGATGTAGCTGAGATTTTTCACGACTGGTCGTGGTTAACTATTGACTTTTTGAGAGAGCGCTTGCGTGCAGCCTACTTTCAGTGCAGCTGAATCAGGACTGGCTGCAAAAACTAGGACAGCTTCCGCAAGGAGTCGAACAGAATCTAATAAAGAATGGTTGAAGTATGTGATGCAGAGCATGGATCAGTTATGCGCAACGGTAAATTTGTATGCGCGCGATCGCAAGCTGTTTTTCTTCCAGTCCCTACTTAGTTGTTTATGTTTGACGCTGTTTTGTTTGTGTTCACTTCGTTCGCCTTTGACTTATTTCAGCCTAGCTGGTGTGTAGGTATGCAGGCTATTCAGAGCTTGAATGTCATGATCCTCTTTCTCTGTGAACGGCTCGCCTAAAAACACCGTTTCTTTACCGTTCATCCGTCCTCGTTTTTAGTTGCCTGTCGAGTTTTACTCACCCTATCAACAGCATTGAACACAGTTATTCCAACGTTGTTGTTTCAGACCGGTCGACCATTCATCGATTTCTGCAGAGCCTGTGAGTCCAGGAAATACAAAATTGACCGAAGTAAGTGACAAAGATTACTACGTTCGTTTGACGAAGAAAAAAGACAGACCCGATTAGAATTAATTTCAACACTGTGGGCAATGTGGACCTTGGCACCTTTATAATAACTGGATTTCTGTGCACCGTAAAGTCCAGAAAAACTCGTAGTTACCTTAATAAAAACTCCACTAGATGTAGAAAAGGAGACAACGAAAGGAACGTTTTTCACAACACAGCTTGTTGAGCGCCTATTTTCTCTATTCCCACACAATACTGTTTAGTGTGCAATCAAGTCCCGAAGAATTCAACCGCATGGATACTTTAGTTCGTGTTGACACTCCTAATTTGGGCACAGAAGGATCAGGCAAGTGGCCATTTGATTGACAGTTTCAGGCTGCTATCAATGAACTACGTGCCCCTGACTGGTTTTCACTGTCTGGGGATTTTATTTGGAGCGGAACTGTCTGTTTGTGTCAGCTGTTGACTTATTCAGATGATCGTCTGTTTTCTGGTGAGCGAACAGAGTTATTTAACAGAATAGTCACGGGTCTGTCCAGAGGATCAACCGATGGGTTTTGATTCGTACCAAGTGTTTTAATGAATCTGGGGTCGGATACTAGGAGGCTCGGTTCCGGTTTTTTTTAGCACATTCCATTCCTCAACGGAAAAGAAACATCTTGTCCGGTATCTTGGAGCATTTTAACCGATGGACTGGACCTTGACTGACGCTAAGTAAGATTGCAGGAGGCAGCATTTAGAGGGAATGTGAACCTACGAAACTGGCAACCTTGCACTACCTCAGCCCTCGTGCTCCTTCCAGGTTCATGACAGCTAGGTGCTAAAAGGATGTTACGAATGAACGGTTTATCTTTTGGCAAACGTACGTGTGTTTGGTCACTGACCCAAAAAGCGCGCTGCAGAACACCACTCACCAACTAGTGGGGGTCCTCATAAAGAGCTTTTCGCTTGTGAAATGGTCGTTCTCTCGAAATCCCCTAAAAAGTGAGGTCCATGTGAATCTTCTTCGTTGATACTTTCCAGTTTTAAGTTTTGTTTTATCAAATATTCCATATTGGGAGATTGTAATCTTAGTTGTTAGTGTTCGTTGACTAAGGTTGATTGCACTTGATCCTTGGACCAGATTTATGCGACAGGTTTCGCTTGTGCAATTGTTTGATTTCTTTGAGACATCAAAGCCACATTTAGACTTCGACAATTTCTGGGGTACAATTTGGTTCTGTTGATACGATTAGCTTTATCGAAGCGTTGGAAACACTAAGCGCTAAGACTTGACCTCTGCGGTAGTCTAAACCCACGTGAATTTGTGAATAGTCCATGGCTGAAAAACTGAACCGGTCGTAAAACTGGTGGCTCTCGTCTCCTGTTCCTGTTATCTTCTCAATGGTTGCGTTGAAAATTTTCACCAGATTTATCTTCACTCTGTCCACTGGCATGTGTAAGCTTACCTTCCTCTTGCTTTTTCCGATCTGATTCAGCTGATCCGATCCAATCTCTCAAAGAGGCCACCCACAAGTGTCATTTGTCACGCCTTCAAGTGTACATAAGCTCGCGCTACTCACTGTCCTTTGTAAAGCCCATTGCTTATTCATATTCGCGCTTCCAGTGGCCCGAGCATGCAAATTTTGTGGTAGGTGAAGATCTTCACAAAGGGCGCGGTAGTTCCATGGGTGCCGATACTCTCAGCGGATTTTGTATAGGTCAACACATAGGAAATCATAAATTATAACCATTAAATCATAAATCTGGATTTCCTGTCATCCAACGAATTTTACAGAAAAATGCTCGCCCAAGACGATCGACCAGCCAGCAGTAGCTGAAGATGGCGATCCATTTACTTTGTCCTAACGCTCAAACTGCACTGAGTCTCCTGACCCGGTTTCTTGCCACGCGATTTCCCTTCACAGAATGCATTATTACGCGTCTTGTTGCGAATGCCGGAACACGAAAGGAAGACCGTTGACTTTCTCGCAGACCGATTGGGTCAAGCTCAGTTCCGTAATCTGAAGGATATTATTCGGCACCTGTATCTGGCCCAGTTGCTTGTGCAACATTTTCATACCAAATCCGCGCGTGATGTGCGAACGACTCCTATCGAAACACACAAGTCCAAGGGAAGCGCAGTTTTGTCTCCTGAACTGGTGAATGTGCTTGCTCGAATGTGGAATCAGGCAGGATCATCATCGAGTTCGGGTAAACAGGAACCTTTCAAGGAGTGTTCGGGCGATGAAGATCGAAAACTTCTTGTTCTGCGTCGGAGCATGGTGGACACTGAGCTGTAAGTGGACACATTTTTTCTTTAATTGACGCTACTCAGGTCATTGAAAACCCTGAGCAGTCGTGCCCTAGTTCTCGATTAATCTATCTTGGCTCTTCGTTGAGGACCATTATGAAGATATGTGGCTAAGAACACTGATTAGAAAATTAATTTGATGAGTTTGTGAGACTCAAGTGAAATTTTACTGAATCGGGATAGATGAGTGGTTAAGGTCCATAGTTGGAATCTGACCTAAGCATCTCGATCCCTCTAATCTGGGCTTTGTCGGTCTGGCAGTATTTCGGCCCACGTGCTTACCTCAGGTGGCGTGACAGCTATGCAGCGAGCTGAGCGACTGTTGTTCCTAATATTCTTCCCAGTAATCATGAGGTTAATGGACACTGGACGATCCATGGCCGGTTTGGTGTCCTTGTTAGAAGAAGCCTGATTCTTTGCTGTTCCGTCCTTTTTGATCGATGTACTGGACCTCGTGCTAAGTGCGAGGGGCGGGGCTTTTGAAACGCCTACCATCTCCGATTTCATTGATGTCTCATCACTAATAGGGCGTCATGTGCTTTTTTCTGATGCCTGACAGCAAATCTGCCATTGGTTCACCATTAAGCTCGTTGCAATGGCTCCGCGGAATCTCACCCTATAAGGTCATGCTCCTGGACATGCAGTCACTGAAGAAAGGTGCCGGAGCAACGCCATACGTATAAATAACCCACAAGTTTAATACTCTTAGATTTTCAAGGCGCATTAGACTTTGTTGGCCAGTCCCCCTTAACACGCTTGCTCATCCAGGAACGCCCCGGGTTTTAATTTTAATAGACTCTCTGTGTAAATGTGGATCTCCAAAAGCCTCTGTACAACAAGTGGCAGACAGGGATGACCAGTATCGGGTTCTGTTCGCTTTCGGGATCGATGAGGTAATATGACGAATGCAAGATCTTCAAAACCCTGCTGACCTTGTCGGCCTGAAATATATGCAGATGATGCACGAATCTCTAAGGCTCAAGTCGCGTATTCTGATTTCAGACACTTATGGCGGCAAAGCGGTATGTCACCGAATCTCAAGGGACGTGTATATGAAGCTACAGTAGGGGCTGTTTTTATATGCCTGAGACGTGGCCTCTGTGAGAAGCGGAACCGAGACGCCTTCAGGTATTCAACAACCGTCGTCTTAAAACCATATTTTATGTAAGCTAGTGCCGGTGAATCCGCGACGAAACAAGGCTTTCCTATAAATTATGGTTGTATAGCAACGAAGGATCAGTGTTGAACACCGATGTGCTGTCGATGCTGATGGCAGCTGCGGTTAGTCCTCAGTCTTCAGTTCACTACTGCATCTGTAATCTGCCAATGGTGGATAAAGCCTTGAGTCTTTTCTGTTCCTATATCTTTGCTTTGGTAAAAATCATTCTGTAGGTAAACATTGTCCAGACAAATCGTGCCACTTCGCCGTTACTTAAAATTAACTCTGACAGTCCTCGAGCTTATTTTGTATTTTCATCCAATCGCACTCCAATGAAAGCGTCACACGTATGTCAATTTTTCATTATCTATTGATAGTGAATCCTACGACAAGTTGGATATTAACTGGGTGGAGTCTCCCACCAAGTTACCTCGAGAACAATTACCTCTCATCCGACTTGCCTGTCTGAACCGATTAGCTCACCTGTCACTGGAGATTCACCAACTTTACGCGAAGCTTTTGCCCGCTTGTGTCTGTGCACAGCTGTTTGCCTCAATGCGAACCAGTCTGACGGCCTTAGACATGTCCCGTTTGCCGGAAAAGCTGAGGTTACACATCACCGAGCTTCAGCAGTTGATTGACCTAACTGTCACGGCTCCTACACCTAACCCACTGTCTTTCAACGCGCGTCTCACAATCCTGTCATCTGAACAGTCCTCCAACGCGAGGACATTGAAGAAATTGGGATTAGTCCCGCAATTGGAACCGAGGTTCGAGGAACGGTGAGTTACTGTTAGATTATTGTAGTGGGAATCACCACTATTGTTCTGTAGAGGGTTGTCTGCTTACATTGTTACACATGAATGATTTATGCATGTTTTTCAATAGTTCTTTCAAGTGAAATGGGGTCTTGTGTAGTCCCCCCACATTAGGCCGACCTGGAAAGCTCGTACGATTTTCCGCTCGAACGGCCTTCCTCCCTGGGTAATCAGCAACTCGGAACTATTCTTTTTCTCTGTGAATATCCTCCACTCGGTGATTACCGTTGACAACAGCACCGGCGAATTACGTCGCTGGTGCTTTACTGCCGCACGACCTTCTCACTATTTCAATAAAGCTTTATGATCGAAAGAAGAAAGGAATGGGGTAGGGATGGGGCCTAGGGCTAACCTAGGCCCTGAGGAGCGTGAACCTTCAACTCGCAGTCCGACAGTATGGATAGAAACTGACGGCATCAACCCCACTGGCCTCGTAAAACGCGAACGAACCCACGGGTCCCAGCTGTAATAGAGAGGCGACCGTTTATTACCATGTGCTACTTAATGGAATCGTAATAGGAAATGAAGGCTTCTAATTTGAGTGAATGAAACGTTGGCTTAGTTTCTACTTTCTCACTACCGTTTGTGATAGAGGAATTGTGGGAACTGGAAATCATTCTTGAAACATATACACGCACATTGGGATTCGCAAGAGAACAAAGGATTGTCCATCGGTGGTCGTGGATCATGAAAGCTGCTGAACTAATCTTTGGTTGCGACTGAAACCACAATTGGTTGGACAGAAACAACTCACGATGATGCCTGGTTCCCAGTGTTGAACACCTTTTTCTCCTCTGTAGCTGACAGTCATATACAGCCATTACTCATACAGCCATTACTCATACAGCCATTACTCAAATATTTAAGACATCCCCGCCTCAGTGGTCATTTGGTAGGCGGATTTACCGAATATCCACAACCTTTTCTCATTGCTCACACTATCTTTTTTCGTCATCCTAATTTAGCGTGAAACTGATGGATGTATTTAGTAGTTGAACGCAAAACAAAGTTCCAAGCATATATGATGACACCCCATCAGAACCAAGGCATTCTGAGGACTAAGTCTATTCAGGGTCATGATTGTCATATCGACCGGCCTTGTCCAACTGGGGCCTTAGATCTGTGCTGGATGGATAGGTGATGTATCATGAAAACCAACTTGTCGAGCTACTTCATACTTTTTCATATAAAATCGCCGCCGTAAAGTACTACTAGACCTGATACGAAACAGAAACAGCAGCTTCTGTGTATGAAATGAAAGGGAGTCTAAATAGGCCGGTATTACTCATTCACCGTGTGTTCCGTTTGCAGTTACTGTACGTCGTCCATTGTATTGCCACTGCATTAGCTTGAACTCATTGTCCATACTGGGAAGGATAAATAGATAACTCTTCCTCATTCTCATTATCAAAGAGATATTTGCATTTGTTGTGCCTCTTGACGTTGTGGATGTTATTTATTAATTATTCATTTATTTATTATTTACTGGCTTGAAAAGTTTGCTGACACAAACAGCAGCTTCTGTGTATGAAATGAAAGGGAGTCTAAATAGGCCGGTATTACTCATTCACCGTGTGTTCCGTTTGCAGTTACTGTACGTCGTCCATTGTATTGCCACTGCATTAGCTTGAACTCATTGTCCATACTGGGAAGGATAAATAGATAACTCTTCCTCATTCTCATTATCAAAGAGATATTTGCATTTGTTGTGCCTCTTGACGTTGTGGATGTTATTTATTAATTATTCATTTATTTATTATTTACTGGCTTGAAAAGTTCGCTGACACAGGATAACTTGCCAGGATGCCCGTGGTTTGAACTCTACCGTGGCTTTTCGGTTGTTCTTGTCTGAAGCTGGGAAACGTGACAGTCCTCGTGCCTCCCTCGGGTCGCATGACAACCTGCCATGGAAACAGAGGCATTGCTGAATGATTCGATTTTAGCTTTTCGATTTTTTGTTATACTGTTGTGACCACTTTCACCTCCCTATTTCTCACTCAGCCTGGATGCGCGCCGTCCGAAAGCTGGTGATCTTAAACGTTCTTTGAAACGAAAAGTCGCACGCGAGAAACGTGGTGCAATGCGTGAAATCCGCCGCGATGGCGAGTTCCTCGCTGCTCACCAGCTCAAAATGACCAAGACAAGGTACGTTTCCGTGCCGTAGTCGTTTGATTTTAAGCCTAAATATGTTCGTGTTCTAGTAGATGGCCTGGCATTAGTGACTGGTTTTCGCAGGCACAGTAGGAGAAAAAGTAGTTCGATCTTCTCATGTAAAGTTTACTCGAATTACATTACAAGTGTAGCTGACCCACGCATCGTACGCTAGCTAGGCGCTATCGATTGTTGTTCCTACCCATGAAGCCTTTGTATTTTCGATTCCTAGCCAAATGGCGTGATCGACGTAGTCCGTGTTCTTCCGAGCCCCAACGAGTGATTCGTGCATTTCGACCCTAAGTGAATTCCACGTCGAATGGTAATGCCATACGCTGAAATCGATTCTTTTATCCAGACAACTACAAGTAGAGTTTTATCGTTTTTTGGTCATACTTCGAAAAGGGTGTATTTGACAGTGAAGTTTTGAGACTCGAATAATCACTTTCCTAGCTGTATACGTTCCGCCTAAGGTGCCGTACACCTTTTTTATGTCTGAATTTGTGATACGTTTCCGCCGCTTGACGCATCTCCTCATTTTTCTCTACAGTGACGAAACGCGCAACAAGAAAACTCAGGCAATTCTGAACTCTCTGCGAGCAATTGAAGACTGAGTACTTACTATCTCAGATCATTGTAAATAAATTCTTGGTGATCTTGTTTCCTTCATTCAGCTGTTTGATCAAAGGAATGTGATTGTTAACTTCATCGTTCACGGTCTCAACACTGTCTCTTGTAGTTCGACTCATTGTCTCAATGATGGATAGCCTGTGCTTCAGTATTCTGGATCCCTTCGAGGTATGCTTGCTTTGTTTGACACAACCACCCCTTGGGACAGAAGCGCCCCTGAAGCGATGGTCGTATCAATTTCCGCGTGTTACGTTATGTTGACTGGTGTTACCCGGTTCTCATGAAGCGTAACAGCCCAACACACGAGATGAGCAATGCTCGTTTTACGAAAAGTTGAACCGAAGGTCTGCGAATATTCTGACAATCAAAGAGGCGTTTTTTGCGACTTTGATAGCCCATGCACAGACCTATCTCATGTTTCGGGTAGCTGTCTGAATGGTTGACTGACTCCGCATTCCGGAGTAATTGTACTTCCACACTATCCCCACACTTAATCCCTTTCATTGGTGCATCACGCAAAATCCACGTTAAATACCAGTTTTAGCTCAAAATTCCGATCAGAAGCCGCTGTATGGTAGCATGCTCTACGCAGAAGGTCGCCATCGCAAGCATTTTCCCGGTTGTTCACTGCGGTTTGCCTATTTTGGAACACATGTATGGGGTGACTTCTTGTTGAGTAGCCAATCGGATGTCATCAGAGCACTGATTACATATTTGGGTCCTTTTTACTCGGTCTCACGTACCGACCATATCCTCATGTCAACCACGTTAAATGTTCAAAGTTTACATCGTATACGAAGGTCGTGTTTTGGTTTACATCTGCTGGCAAGGTTTTCTACCCACCCTCTTCCAATATGCTGGTAGGCAAATTTTAGGGAAGACTCAAAATTGATCATGACAAAGTCATCCGGTCACTTCTGTTTTGAACTCGGTTTATTTACTGGTCAACTGACTGCGGTCGTTTCAAGCGAGGGGATCACGGGAATTCAATTAGTAGTCGTATCCAACCGCTTCTCGATATCCAGCAACCTGTACGCTGGGATCTGGTAGCACAGCACTTATCGTATTGAAGAATCCTCGGGAAAAAAGGTTTCTCTATCGAACAGACGATTTTCTATCCTGCTCGAATAAACAAATCACCCTCTCAAAACCGAGTGGGAAACATCAGCACCATAGTTAGCGGCATCACTGTCGACAGTGATATGATCTTTATTGCCTATGTGTATCACTGTTTTATTACTGTCAATGATAATGAAGGTGATCTTTAGTGAGAAAACTGGTTTGCTTCGGATGAATTCATGGTCACGTTCGATTAGTCCTCTTTCTCTGGTGAGTCTCTACCATGACAGTAGGGGAGCACTGCACTCAAGCTTTGTCGTCAATGGTGCTTGTCTTTTATCGTGCCGGGGTTTGGGCTTCGGACATCTGACTACGAGACAGAGGTGTTACTACTACTCCACGGGTGCACGCTGCACACACCGGAATTGTATGCTGATTTAATGCTGCAAGGAGGTAGTCAACGACCTTGAGTTTTGATGGTNGATGGTGGTCAGTTGAAGTTTTCGTGTGATTCCTGCTGACTGTCCTCGAATTAGCTGCTAATTCATTCATCAAGACGACGGATGATACCCTGCTTCCTTCAATTTCAGCATGTTAGCTTTGATTCGTGGTATTCCAGTATGATAACCGGGTACCATGCATCCAGGAGAAAACAAGACTTGATGTGCTATTTTTGGTCATCAGTGTTCAACTAAAAATACAAAGTACCAAATGATGAGATCATTGGTTCTCCTACATACGGCGCGGCAGATTTAATTTCACGTTTTCCACCATATGGTGCGCTAGTGAAAAATGGTTGTTTTTTGTCAGCGACCGATTGTCTTGGGGTCAAAAATAGCGTTGACTATGTATGTCTATCACGGTGATTTTGACCGTATACCTTAAAGGGCTTGGTGTTTGAGTGTATCTGTTCCGCTCGAAAAGTAGTTTGGTTTATTTTGTGTCACTGTTTTGTGGTTTTTTCTTTTCGGTTTACGCTTCCACTGAACGGACGAATCAGAATGAATTTTTTTTTCACTGTGAACCTGTAGTCCAAATAATTATCAGCTCACAGTTCTCCGTTGCGAAACTAGGTTACTTCACAGTTTGTTTTCCCACGGTGCCCCGATTCATCTCGATGACCTTAACATTTCTTATGCCTGAACCATGAGTGGCTTAACAGTATTCGTCCATGCCGGTGTTTCATGCAGGGAGACAGCTGATTTTTGGTTTGAACAGTCTATGAATTTTCCAGGCGGTGCTTGCGATGAACCACGAGATGGTGAATAAGATATTTTGTATTTTCGGTGCACACGCTACTCCTCTGATAGAATTCTAACCGTAAACGTGATAAAAGCTCTTCAGCCTGATCTGGAGATGGCCGTCTAACTCCAGTCAGATATTGATTGATGTATCGTCCAGTCTGTTGTGAAGTCTGTGTTATCATCGGACCTATAAACAGTATACTAACGGGGGGTGGAGGGAGAATACTTCAGTATCCTGGGTATCGGCCCGATTGGAATATGAGTGCCCTTTGTGCAGCACTCCCGGCTGAAGAACATTGTGTCGAAGAGTTTTCAGTAACCTTGTGAGTAGTTTCCTTTATGAAAACATTGTGAGGGGTTATTTAAATTTCTCGTTATTCCGAGAATAACTAGACGGAGTTAAGGTTTGTCTCTTCGCAAAAGATCCTCAGTGATGTTCGCCTGCGATAACTTTGAGATTTAGGTCACGTTGTCTTTCAAGCATCGATTGTTGGTCGAAAAGTGTTTCTCGTGAGAGCAAAGTAGGATACCGTCATCTCACCGTATGCTTGGTAGACAAATGATAGCCACGCAGCAAACTTTTCTAAAAAAAATCCAAAATTCCAACCGCGGATTCAGAAGCACAACATTCCAACTATACTGTCCTTTATCAAGTTTGAAGAAAAAACTAAAAAGGGAAACAGTCTAGAAGCTGTTCAGGTAATCAGATATGTGCATCACTAGTCATCAGTATGAATGACCTTGAATAACATGGGCAAGGCGGCTGTATTTTCTAGAAATTTTCAAATTCACGACTAGGCTTCCGTTATGGTGATTTCTGTCCAAGTTCTTTTATTACCTGTTGTAAACAAGGATATCTTTGGTGTACAGGTTGCGTAGTGGTAACACGCAACACACACCTCGCATGTCACGTGTTCGGCGTTCGAACCGTGGCATGGTCAAGGCTATGCTCCACTCTAATGAGAGCAAAAATTGAATCCAGTATTTCCCCACTTTGGTGTGGACTCGCCAGAATAGTTACGCAAGGGCACGAAAAGACAGTGATATGAACTGGAATACCAGAAGACTTTTGGACTGTACATACATAATTTTCGCAGCTTTTCGTCGCTGTAGCTTCTATGTGGTTGGTTTACTGATTTCGGAAAACCCGTTATATGTTTATCGATTTGCCTCGTATAGAACGTTCGTACAATGAACAGTACCAAGGGCCAACAAGGCGATTTAGCCATATACACCATGATTAGTAGCAGTAAACCTCGTGGTTTAACGAATACGAGGAGTGCTTCTGTTATAAAGGTTGATAATACGCTCATCATACAAAGTATGCCCTTTTGCTTGGTGGAACATTGCTTTGAACTTGGTGAGACGTGGTACCGCCATTCTTTTATCCACCTAATTTGATGGTAGAATTCAATTGTGCCTGTCGTAGTCAAGACAACTTCGGGAAACGGTCACAAGAAGATTAGTTTTATGGGAAACACTAATAAAATGAGCGGATAAGTACAGGGCGGTAGAGGGTTTAATCCCGATTTTAACACATCAGTTCACCAGATGCTCGTACAGCACTACCAAAAAGTATTTCGGCCATTATTTATTATTTTAAATACACATGAATACAAAAGATGTGATTGAGGCGAAGGACCGACCAGTTCGGCAGTGCAGTAAAGCAGTTATGAAAGGAGATTCCAGTTTTTAATAGCCATCATCACACTCCAGTAGACTGTAAGGAGCAAGGGCCACTTAACGGCTGGTGGAGTCATTGATTGAATCGCGTGGTATTCGGTAGTTTTCCCCAGAGATTTCATCTTGTAATTGGAGTCAGTCTATGCCGGAAAACCAAGAAGCCAAGTACACCTTTTTCATCCTTATTTGGAACGGTGCATATTTCACGGAAGCATATTTGAACCCACGACCTACTTGTCAGCAGTTTGAACCTGACTGGCTGTTTGACTGGCTTCTCAGATATAAGTTTTATTCATCTTGTGAAATTATTCCTATTCTGAGTTCCCTATAGATTAGTGGTCGTGTGAGATCTAATTTTAAACTGAGATTTCGTCAGGTAAGTGAACCCAACCACTTGAGATTACCTACCTGAACGATTCGAAGAAAAGTCCTAGAGACGGTGTGCTTCGTCAATTTACATAGATCTGTAAACAAGTGAGACAACTAAAGTTGTAATTCTGTTGACGAACTACTCCCTTGCAACTTCCCCAAACCCCTCAATCATAACATTTTCCAAGTACATGGACTGTTCGGTGGCCGTAAGATCCGGACGGCTGGAGGTCATACGGGACATCACATGCTCTTAGCGTTTCACGCTACTCATGAGTAGTCAAACAAATACGAAAAATAACCACGCCAATCGTAGATTCACTGAAGGCATCAGACAACCGCATATAAATTTCAACGCTTCGGGGTTAACCAGGCAGGCCTAGTCCTCGTACCTTCATCTTTCTTCAACTTCTTTCTTTTAACTTCTCTCATCACGTTCTTCTAATAACCAAGCTGTACGAATGTTGTACTAAAACTGCCTTGCGAATGGTGTCTTCCTGACAGATGTGACTGGTTTGCCCGACGCCTCGGGTGATGATCAACTAACTGTACCAGTTGTGCCGATCTGTTGCCCCGCCTGCCAAGACATCCTAATCACTTCAAACCAGCTGGACAATTTCGCTGATTTTTCAACCCATAAACGCGATCTCTCAATAAGAATAGTCTTACTGGTGATGCTT